TCTGGGAGTTGAAGTCCACTCATCTTAAAGTGGCCAAGTTTGGACAACACTGCCCTACACTGACATTGCAGGTTCCCTTGCTCAGCATCGCCTCTCAAAGCAAAGAGCTGGGGAAGCTCTGCACGTGGCGCTGGCCAGCCTCTGCCAGCCTGGTGCCCTCCGGATGTGTGATGGGATGGGAAGTCGTGGAGTTCCCATTCCGGATGGCATTAGCCTGAGAAAAGTTCTGCCAAAAACACTCAACCGCTGTCTACACTTCCATACTTGAATTCGTGTATGTAGAAAATAGGATCGTAGAATCCCAGAAGGACGATTTGGATGTCTCTCAGAGGTCATCTAGTCCAGCCCAGTCCAGTGCAGGAATCTGTTAAGCCACCCCTGACAAGGGGGCCCGCGGCAATTGGGGAGTCCAGCCCTGTTCTCAACGGCTCCAGTCAGGAAATTCCTCTTAATATCCGGCCAGAATTTCCTGTCTTTTAATTCCATCCTTGGTGAGCCTGAAGGGAGCCTAGAATGGCAGTTTTCTTCATCTGAGCCTGTGGTCGCCCCTTTGTGGTTTAAAAAGTCCTTTCAGTCCTGTGGGATTCTGGCAGTGTCACTCTGCAGAGCTCACGTGGGGGAATTCTGAAATCTCACCCATTTCAGCATTCTCGTGTGGAATCCTGGAATATCTCATGTGAAGAATGCCGGGATCTCTCCAAATTAGGTAATCTCAGGAGAGTCTGGTTATTTATTAAAAAGTCGCCTAAAATAATAATTTGGGAATCTGAACATGCCATCTAGAAGCGTTGTGGGAAATGTGTTGCCAACTCTCGGCTTCAGAGTTCAAAAATTCCACTGATTTCTCGGGATAAAATTCTTAGGATTAGTAAAAAGAATGTTTTTTTTACAATGCAGCGTGCAAGTTTCACGTAAAGGTAAGGTGGGGGTCTTTGTTTTTAGGCTTCCCCAAAATGTAAATGCATGTGAAATGAAATGAAAACGCCAAGCCCATCATTTGTCACCCTTTATTTTGGTCTCTGGGAGGGGTTCCTTTATGCTTTACGCACGATTGGTGAAGGGGGTTTTCCATGTGGGTGAAGTGAGTGTTTCAGAGACCACTTTTTTCCCTTTCCCAAAGACCCCTCTTTGGGAGTCGAATGGTCCAGGGGCTAGATTAGGCTATGTAATTGGGTGCAACTTGTGTAAGGTCAGAGGATGTGATGTGATGGAAAGGAAATTCTTCCCCGAAACCTTGCTCTGAAATATGTCTCTCTGCCGGAGGCGGTTCTGCCTTCCCTGGGAGGAACTACAGGGTGATGCCCTTATGGCAGAGGGGGGGAGACGCCACACAATGGTGGGCTTTGGAGGGACTGGCCCTTGAGGGAAGCAGAAGGCCCTAATTTGAGGCTTAAGCAGTGTAGAGCAGCGTGTCTCAACCTTGGCAACTTTAAGACGTGTGGACTTCAACTCCCAGAATTCCCCCGCCAACATCGCTGGGCGCGGGGATCTTGGGAGTGTAGGGCTCCACTCCCTAAATTTTCCAGGTTGGGAGAACGGGGTCTCTGCATGATT